TAATAATTCGCGTTACTTTCACTATAAATAGAATACGTCTGCTATATTTCATCATGAAATAATGAGTTAATGTATCAGTGAAATCAGGTTCCCATAATGACGACATGTTTCTTTATTGTACACGAAATATCTCAATATGATAATCTTCCAATATTGACAAGTACTTTGGACTAACTGGATTTACCATACACGTGCGTTTGGATTGATTTACAATGAGTATAGCATTTACGATAAATCTACGAACGATCTTGAAACAAAGAACTAGTGTTTATATGTTACTTTCATTAACAGTATTGGTCAGAATGTTTAATACAACTAGTTTTGTTACTTGTATTTTCAAACTGTACCATAAAGTTCATTTTATTTTGTTAGTTTAGTGTACGATTTTAGGACGAACCTGAATATCTGTAGTTGTCCGAACAGGGTAAGATATTTTTAGGTTTACGGCCCAAAACATCGTTAACAGCGATGTTGTCCAACTGAGGAAACAATTCATTATAATATTTATAAATAAGAACATAAGTAAAGTATATTTAATTAGCTTTGCTCATTACCGGGTTTCTATTTATTTTTGATGCAAGTTAATATTAAGTTTGATCGGAATCTAATATTAATTATTTTACAGAGTACTAGCTAAAACATATGCTCAAAGTTTTTCGGATTTAGTTTTGAAGGATGCAGAATAATCATTTTTTGTGAGGTTTGAGATTTTTAACTACACAATGGACTGTCTGCGCTACGTCCGCAGAGGGGATTGAGCCACGCATTGTATTAGTGTTATGTCTCTCACTTTACCACTGAGACACCACGAAACCTTTTTAATAGCTTATTAAAAGTTGCGCCAAGTCATGTTTTCACTGTAAAGTCGATTACACCTATTTTATCAACAAGATGTCTTCACTTTTGAAAACCTTCTATATTATGCTATCAGTCCCTAATGAACTTTTCTCACAAATTTCTCGATCAAACGCTACAAATCTCATATCGCTAGAAAACCTTTGACCGAGAAGTCCGGATTGTATATTGGCTTTAAAAATCAGAATCACCTGTTTTTCGCTTAGTCAAACCTTTCAATGCAACGAATATGGTACACGATGGTACAATGTCGTTGTTATCACTTGACGACTGGCTTTGATTTCAACCTGAGTTTTTTATTTGCAAAGTATTTCACACAAATAACACTTAACCACTCGTAATTTCTTTAAAAAAAATGATTACACTAAATATAATTTCTATGAGCTTTCTCGACTTATTTAGGTCTAAAATATGCATACACAGTTCGTTCAACATTTCTGCATATTCAGCTAGGTTTTCCTTCATCACAATTTTACATTTACTTTACTTTGTTATAAACACCTTTTAGCTACTTTTTTTCTTTACTACGGGTTTTATTCTTCGTTTTTGCGTGTTTCTTTGTTTGAACTCGTAAACACGTAAAACCTTGTCATACACTAAACGCTCATAACTGTTCCATACCCTGTACATTATTATAAGTACCATTACTATACTTTATTGTTCAATTTACGTGCAGTTTTATTAAATGAAGTTACGTCTACGTGTAGTTTTATTAAATAAAATTTCGTATACGTGAGCTTCGTTGTCTAACGGCGTAAAATGTTTTCAAATAGACCAGGATTTATCGATTTAACCCATAAGGCCTGCATGGAAGCGTACCTTAAATGGGGTGCATGAAAATGATAGAATAAGGAAAATTCAAGCGAAGGGCATCAAAACTATCGCAAATGTTGCGGCTAGTGTAAAAATAAAATTGCATCCTGTAACTTTCTTTCAATATAATTTATATGGAAATTTTTGCAGAAACATTATCAAAATGATTAATGAAAATTCTAACCCGTGAAATACCTCTCACAAACAACTTTAATCCCGTTAACAAGGATGATTTTTTTGTTTCGTTTTTATCATGGGTGCAAGTTGAGAATGATTGAAATAATCAGGCAAAGGTAAAAATAAAATCTTTTTAAGATCTATATTAGAAAGAATATCTACACGCCACCTTAAAACTGGTTTTAATCCGAATAATTTGTATTACATTGCTAATTATGCCTACAGACATTTAAAGAGGAATACAATGTGTATAATACTGATAGTACGAAAGAAGTGAAAGAAAACTGAGAACCTGAAGTAACGAGCTTAACAGACAATGTTCTATGCATCTTATGGAGCGTTAGAGCATTCCACAGGTTAGGATATTAGCATAATGTACTTTCATACGCAAGTTTGGCATATGACTTAACGATCAATAGCTTAAGTGAGTCGAATTCAATTTATAAGTAATCTCTAACGAATGGAGGAAATGATGCAAAATTAATAGTTCATTACTGTAAAATGCGAATCCATGAAAAATTCCGTTCTAGCTGTAACTCCATCTTATATTTAGGCCCGGCATGGTCAGGTGGTTAGGGTGCTCGACTCGCAATCTGCGGGTACGAATCCCCTCTCCACCAACCATGCTCGCCCTTTCAGCCGTAGAGACGTTATAATGTAATGGTCAAGTCCGTTATTCATAATCTCTGTGGCGCAATTGGTTAGCGCGTTTGGCTGTTAACCGAAAGGTCGGTGGTTCGAACACACTCAGTATTATTTTAACCTGTAAACAAAGAGATGTTGTTTTTCGGCGCCCTGTTCGTGAAAGTGGGTTTTCTCATGGTACTCCTCCCCACAGCAAATTTCTACGGCATTGGATTTATAGATCCCCGCAACACTAAAGAACCCTTTGTCCCACAGGGGCCGTTTGAATTCGTCAAGTATCGATTTTCTCCTCTTTTTCGTCTTTGTCTGAACTCTTCATGGCTCCCTCGACTGCTTGTTCAGACACTCAAACATTTCATGTCAATATAACATTTTCAATCAAGCTCAACCCACTGGAATCCATATACAGCCCACACAAACTTCACTAATGGGGCGAAGAGAAACAAAAGCTTCTGAGCACCCCTTGATAATCCCCTGAGTTTTTACCTCGGTGGATCTTTATACAAAAATTCCTGCCACGACTTTGATTTGATTTGATTATTCATTGGTAAAAGAGTAGCCCAAGAGTTGGCCCTCTAGTCTTTCACTGCTAAATTAGAGACGGCTAGCGCAGATAGCCCTTGTGTAACTTTGCGCGAACTTCCAAACAAACTAAACCAAACCCTCTTATATTTATTCATAGTATTTGTTAACATAAAACGCACTATTGAGAAATGACAAAATGTTATTATATGTCTTAGGTGTGGAATATATAACTCCCAATGACATTAACTTTGAAGACGTACAGGCCGTGTGGTGGCAAATGGAATTGGAATACTCAACCTAAACACCCAGATCGAGACCTCAAGGATGCAAGCATAATCTTTCTTAGTTGTAAACCGCTGACCAGAGGGAAGGCAGCCAGCTAGCAGTACCCCTCGCCACAAGCTGGTCTAGCTCTTTGAACTGAATAACAGGATTAACGTTCACTTTTATAACGCACACATAGTGGCATCACGTCTCGAACCCCGGATTATTGGATCCACTGACTGACACACCAACCACTGAGTCGCACCAAGCTCAGTAATGTCAAGCTTCTGTTGTTTCTTTTGTTCTTTTTTCTGTCAAATATTTAAATTCACCTTTAAATTAAACGTTATGAAATTTTCTCGTTTTAAATACGACCATCAATAAACGAAGATTTCAAATACACAGACAATTCTTTGTTCGAGTTTCTTCAGGAACTGATCCAATATTGCTAATTGTTCTAGTAAGTGAACTTGGAGTCTAATTACTTATAAAACTTACTTTATTCAGACCTTTAGTAAAAACCACCGCAGTATGCTTACACGTGATCTTGATCTACTGGCAATAGAGAGTCTAATTGGGCAGTTGTATTAAGTAAACTACGCTTTCACTAATGTAGGAAGAAGTTGATATAAGTGCTAGAGAAGTTGAATATAGAATAAGTGTTGGAAATATAAAAAAGAGGTAATACTTGGTATACACATTCACCTACACAATATTGTTTAAAAAGCTGACGAAAATACAACTTAAAATTTCACAAAAATTTATTTTGCAAGGGCAAAATTTTAACAAAAATGTTGCAAAAAATATTAGTATAAATTTTCCCGGGACGTTTGGAAAATGAAACAAACAAACAAAAAAAAAACGTCTAGACCTTCTATCTTAAACGTGTTACATTGTAGTTTCAGTGATGTTAACAGGAAATCAGAAAATATTTCAATGATTATTTAAGCAAGGTTGAGCATCAACTGTAAAGGCAGTAACATCTAACTAGCTCTTTGGTCGTATTATGTTCGAGAGACGACGTTTATCTTCATTAGGTCCTGGGCAGTCTTAAGATGTCGCAAAGTTGTCTAACAACGGAATTGACTGTTTCTTTCTGATAGTAAAATCAGGATTCCAAATAATTATACAGTAAAGGTGGTTGTGATGCAACAGCAAAAATCCCTATCATTGAACAAAAGTTCACTGATTTGCTTCTTTCTTTCTTCTTCTTCTTTTTGCCCAAAAAGTGCTTGTTTGTTTATTCAAATAACATTATTGTATAGAAAATCAAAATATTGCCTGACTGGGTAATTCTTGGCAAACAAAAGAATAAATAAATATAACAGGAAAGCTTAAAACCATCTTCAAACTCGGAATATTAAAATATGATTAATTAACAGGTAATTGTATTTCTTAAGTTTTAATGACAAGACTGTGGCTAATATTTGTATAAAGGATGGAAAGATGTATAAATAAGAACAAATATCAAGGAAGGTAACGCTTTATATTGCAAGGGAAAAGTTTCCCCCATATTTTTATATAACAATACTATAAACTTTACTCTCGATGTCAAAAAATATTTTATAACAAATGACATTAGTTACAGTATACATCGAAAAATAAAGTTTAACGATCTACATTTTCCAGTTAATACGCCATATTAAATAAATGTAATATCTATTAAGTTAATTAGACGAGAAAACAAGGCACTTTGACATTGATTGAATTGCGGTGTTTACCTGAATAAATATCTGGAATCACCAGGGGAAGCCCTACAGTTTTCACTCTTCCTATCTTATCCCTGTCCAAGCTGCGACCATGAACTTTACGACAGCTGTAAGATTGGTAAAGGAGAAATGGTTGACCAATGTCGAGCGCTGTAGGAGTCTGAACATGATGAGTCATACCCTCGTGGACAGTAACAATTTGCGGGAGAGCGAAACGACGTACGAACTCTCGAGGCGAGTAAACCCGTTGGTGACTCCAGGAATGGGCTGTATACGAACTCATGTCGATAGTACCGTATGCGAAAGGCTTAGAGTACTTTAATGTAGTTATCAGAAAACGAAATTACAGTTCAATGTCATGGTCAGGCATGTGTAGCAGATAAATGTAGCATAAGTGTTCTCAGCAATATCAATTACTTTGTAAGTTGTCATAGTAAGAGGCCCTTGCAATAAATGAAAATAAAAATCGAGTTATAATGCGCGAAGGTTTCCTTTTTCTTTCTTTTGGAATTCCAATAAATCACGAAAGCTAAATGGTCTGTATAAAAGGCGTTGTTTTCAAAACTAACGTAGGTGTGCGAGAAGCTGAACTTCTGGACTTAAGTAGTGAATTTCTATCTTATAATAATGTCTAGTATTGATGCGTCAGCGATAGCTAATCCAATAAATCACGAAAGCTAAGTAGCCTATATAAAAGGCGTTTTTCCAAAACTAACGAAGATGTGTAAGAAGTTAATCTTTTGGGATTAAGTAATGGATTTCTATCTTAAAATAATGTTTAATGTATATACTGATACGCTAACGGTAACTAATCCTATAGTTTGATGTGGTGTGTCGTATAGTTCTCTAGTTTACTGTAGTGTGTCACAGTCTCCGTTGTTCCGGACTGGAAGGAGGAATTCTTATCTTTCCTGTTGAAAAAAAAATACTTATTTGAATGATGTTTTAATTATAAATTAAATATAAGTTTGCTGAAACAGCGACGCATATAATACAGATCATACTAATTTCGATTTATCTATAGGCTACAAAAGTGTATATATATTTCGGTGTTGATAATTATGAACCTAAATTACAATACACAATCGTCTCAATTTCTGTGCGATGCGTCACCTGGTCTCGATTCCAAAGCCAATTTATGTTACTTGAGGTGTCTGTATAGTTCAACTTACTGTCATACCATCTTGTTTGATAAAGTATTGCGTTTCTTTTACAAATGAGAAACAATAAACGATATTTTGCCTAGTGCTTGTCATTCGTTATTGGTGTTGTTTCTTAATGTTTTTTTTTAATCTTATGAATTGTTTGCAACCACTTTTGTTTTGTTTTTTCTCAGACAAAACAGTTGTTGTCTGAAATCTTGGACTTGAAGGTTCAAACAGAGACCAGTTAACTAATAATGATATACGGAAAGTGTACAGTGTTGACATATTAAAGTGACATAGATCATACAGTTAAACAGTAAAGTGACACAGAATATACTGTTAAACAGTAAAGTGACATAGATCATAAAACATGTAATGTACGGAATGCTTACAGTTCTAACGCATTAAAGTGATGTAAATTAATCAGCCTGCAATACAGGGGAAGCTTACAGTGTTAAACAGTAAAGTGACGATGATCAATCAACCTCTTAATTTAAGAAAAGCTTACAGTGCTAACACAATAAAATACATAGATCAATCCAAGTGTAAAATACGGAAAGCTTATAGCGCTAAAACAGTAAAGAGACATAAATCATACAACATGTAATACTCTGAAAACGTATAGTGCTAACACAATAATATGATACTGGTTAATCAACCTGTAATATAAGAAGAACTTACAGTGTTAACACATTAAAGTGACATAGATCATACAACATGTAATACTCTGAAAACGTATAGTGCTAACACAATAATATGATACTGGTTAATCAACCTGTAATATAAGAAGAACTTACAGTGTTAACACATTAAAGTGATATAGATCATACAACATGTAATACTCTTAAAACGTATAGTGCTGACACAATAATATGATACTGGTTAATCAACCTGTAATATAAGAAGAACTTACAGTGTTAACACATTAAAGTGGCATAGATCATACAACATGTAATGTGCGGAAATATTACATTACTAACGCATTAAAGTGATGTAAGTTAATCAGACTGCATTACACGGAAAGCTTACAGTGTTAAACAGTAAAATGACGTGGTTTGCTCAAAACAAGGAATAACTGCGTGGATAATAAAAGTCACTGGTGATTCTTTGTCATAATGCTTATTAAAGCAACTTACAAATAAACGTTTATATTTTCAGTTGATCCTTATCCTCATTTTTTAAGTATACATTTTCTTACCTCTGTATTAACTATTCTTAGTAACTGTAATAGGAAAACAGTCTTATTTACAGGACGACAATCCTATCGGGTTTACTACACCCTTATACGGAATAGTGCATAAGAGAAATAGGCCTAAGCTTTACGTTTATCAGAGAAAGGTATTTTATCCTAATTACTATATTCCACAACATGATAATAATTAACCGGAAAATATATAAGTTATACCACTTCTAATTACTTAATTAATATTGCTTTGGTAATTTCCGCCTTATCGTTGTCAATATGTTAATTTTACTTATGTTTTTGATAGAGCGTATTCATGGTTAGGCAGTTTCCATGCAATTATGTTACAGTTGTTTGTTATTTGAACAAGACGTTCCGAAACTTTCGTGATCCGCTTTTAAATCCCATCACCGAACATCCTTGCGATTTCAGCCTTGGTAGAGGTCAATCCCACTATTCGTTGGTAAATAATAGCCCAAGAAATGGTGGTGTGTGGTACTAACTAACTGCCCTCCCTCTAGTCAACCACTTCCAAATTAGGAACAGCTATCGCAGATAACCCTCGAGTAGCTTTGCCCAAAATTAAGAAACAAACAAACAAATATATCATACATTAATCATTCGCACATTAACGAAAGAAACGTAAATTTCTTCGTTAATAATAAGTAAAAGTATTTCAGGGTGAAATACAAATAAGTTTTAAATTTTCTCAATTTTTCAGTGAGAGATTATTTTTCATGTTTTATATGACTCAGAACAATTGTTTGTATTTCCTAACATGCTATCACATGACTTGGGGAGTCTACTTTCATCTGAAGTTCACTCATTCCTTGGCCTGCTGCCGATGTCACATGTAGAATTTGCTTCTCAGTGTAAACACGTCTAACAGCTTTAAGTTCCTTTTGTTTGTTACACGCGGGTTTTATCTTTTAGAGAAATTCTCTAGTTTTTTTACTTAGTTAAAACCTGTGTGCAACACAAGTGATAATACTGACTTCGCCATAGCGAACCAAGGAGAATTGCTACATTCTAAGAGTCAAGTTTACGCTCGTATTTACCAACCTACACAAGCTTTATTGCAACCTTGGCCGGATGTGTGATAGGGAATACTATTTCTGGCTGTATATCCTATTACCGCAAAACAAAATTGCCCTCCGTACTTTAGGACATTGGCGGATATAAAGGTGACGGTAATATCTCACTTTTCACTTAGAGTGGGTGATAGGTGCTGTTGACTAGCTGCATCCCCTCTAGTCTAGCGAAGATAGCTGTTATGTAGCTTTGAGCGAACATCCAAAATAAACAAACAAATATCTAATGCAATAAATACTTTGGAAATCTCTATAATTTTTATACTGAGTTTTTTCACTTTAGAAAAACTATAGAATTTACTTCAAGTGATTCAGAGTCTTAACTTAATTAATATCTTACCAAGAACTGGTTGATCAGTGGATTTGGGAGGATGTATTTATTTCTCCTGTTGAACACGCACAATTTCTTTACACGTAAAGCTGAAGTTACCACACTTGGAAGACCTTCTTTCTTACCGACTTGGATTATCACATCCTGAGGATATATAAAGTACTTTAAAATATTGCATTTATAAACTTTAGTTTTGGGGGAATGTATTTCGAGCATGCTATGCTTTCTACTGCTATATAGAACAATATTATTTGAGAAAAACTTTATACTAGTTTCCCATATATGTATAAAGTACTTTAAAATATTGCATTTATAAACTTTAGTTTTGGGGGAATGTATTTCGAGCATGCTATGCTTTCCTACTGCTATATAGAACAATATTATTTGAGAAAAACCGTGTTCTAGTTTCTCATACTTGTATATTTTTGTGTTATATATGCCATTAAGTCTGTAAGTTTAGTTGGATTGATTCAAATAGTGAGCACACAATAGTAATTCGGGACAGGAAACAGACTTCCCTAGAAAAGATATAACGCCCGAAAATTTAGCAAAACAAGCAACTAGACTGGCGTTTAGTAAAAATTGATGCTTCAAGGTAGTAATTTACTGTGTTATTCATGCAAATTATATGCTCGCGCTTTGCATTTTTTAGTTTTCTTTTGTTACAACTTAGAAAAGCAGTTTCTTAGAAACAAGTCTAATATATTAACCAAATATTGGGGTTATCTCAAAGCATCGAGTAGGAGTATGTCAAAACAGAAGCGTTTAAAAAAAAGTAGAAAAGAAAACGAGTTATATTTCAACTTAATTCATTTCGGGAATCCTCGATATTCCACGATACACTCATACATTTCACACTCATGTAGCTGTGAAAGATGTTTTGTTAAACGATACTTAATATTAAAAACCAATACCACCCAAGTTAAGAATGTTATTATAGAAAATATTGCGATTATTCTTTCAAGCTACATGCACATAATGGTTTGATACTTTCTACTTTCATAAAGATTCCTTTCGAACCTTCATTTCCCTAACCGTTTATTTTCGAAGATGGATAAAATAATGTGTCTAAGACAAAACAATGTTCTTGTAATCATGGCTTATTGCATACAACTAATACAACTACGTAACGTATAAACTCCTGCATCTGCAAGTGTGGGCTTCTATAATTCATGACCAGGCGTGGCTCAGTGATTAGAGTGCCGTACTATGAATCATAGAGTCCACAGTTCACATACCGCTACCGCAAAATTGCGCTCCGCACTTGAGATTCGTTAGTATAATGATTAGCAAATCCCATTAGTCGATTAGAAGAGTCCAAAAATTAACAGTGTTGGTGTTTATTATCTGCATTCCCTCTAATCTATCAGTTAAAATTCAGAAACGGCTAAACAGATAACCCCTTGCATAAATATCTGAAATAAACAAACACTCCCATAATTCCCAGACACTTGACGTAATGGACATTTTGTCTGTTTGCACACAGCATTGTGCTTATTTAGATCATCGTAATTGTCTTCAGACTGCGTAACAAATATCCAACTGAGTATCTCAAGACATAAAGTATCATTTCCAGCTTTATCTCCTCTAGATAGAAACATAACTAAGCCAAGAATC